AACAGTCAAGGCAATCAAGAGCTGGGTTTATTGAGTTCGCCCCCCCCCCCTCTTTACAGCTGCCCCGTCAAAATTATACATGTACTTATTCCAATGCAATAAGGAATTTAAATTCTGATGAATTTCAAATTCAACCCATGCTTAGCACTTTCCAGTACTTTCAGTACTTTGATTCCTAGCCACAGTGTTCAGGTGAGCAATGTGGCCCATGAGCCTCTTGTTTATGTAAAGATGTAAAGAAGAAAAGGGTTTTACAGATAGATTTAAAAAGGAAGAATTGTTTGCTAGATATTGATGTCCTGTATTGCAGCTCATTGAATTGTTGAAGTTTCTCCAAGACAAATGCAAAAAGGCCAAATTCAAAGGTGCTCCAGGGAAGATCTATGAAATCCCTAGCTCCAACATTCAAATTTTAATGCTGTGGTTAAAGATTTTCAAAATTAATTAGGTAAAGATCAGACGGTCAGAATAAATGGTACCCAATGAAAGGGTTTGTAAAATGAAACATACCTGTGAAAGGGACGGTCCTAACCCTTACCGTTCTACAGGTCATTATGTCGGTACAATGTACCCAAATACAGAAACTGGCGTAAAGAATACACCGGTGAAATATGAAAGCCATAACTCCATCTAATCAAAGGTTATAGACAAGGTTAAAGTTCTTTTCGAACAGACAGGCAAACCGACGGGTGAACAAAATAAAAACTCTATGCACCTGATTTTTTTTTCGATTATGGGGGCATAATAATAATTAATAACACAGTACTTAGCCAAAAAGTACTTCGATGAATAACTGAATTTTATCTGCTTTGAAAGATTGTTTACATGTATAAAAAATGTGTCTTGAGAAATAATTGCATACAGGTGTCTTTATTCAGGTGTCACAAATATCTTATTTGATTTAAATTGTCCTGTTGGGGTTATACACTTCCTGGATTATTATTGAAGATTAAAGGTGATTCTTGGGTCAAATTTCTGTATAGCGGAAGAATAATTCATTCATTGTTTAAGTACCAATATGCCTTTTTTCTACCTTCGATTAAGGTACTTCCAATAATTTAGCTTAATTTTGGGCGTATAAACGACAGGAATACTTATATTTTTCATACAAATTCAGGAAGTTTCCGTATTCCACAAAGGATGTAGTAATGGCCATTATCCGTATCAAACAATAACTTCCTAGGCGTTTAATGATCAAATCAGCGACCGAATTACTGCTGTTTAAACATATCCCCGGACATCAGAGCGTTTAAAAAATTCAGAAAAAGGAAGTTAATAGACAATAGTGTCTTCTTTTTCATATCAGTTGACGAAAAATCGAGACATACAGAATATAATGAAAAGAATCTACCACATAAGTTGCTTTATTGTGATCCTCCAGGCTGCCCTAGCTGAAGATAACGCAAGAGAAGGGGCACCGGTCAGTCCTGGGAATACAGATGTTTGTCCATACTGGGACTTCACTTATCCGTACACGAGTGGAGTAGACTCTGAATGTTGGTTTTCTGTGTCAGAATCAACCCAGAAAAGGTTCCTTCACGAAGTTGCTCAGAACTCATACAGTCTTGTAAATTTTGTGCTCCGCTTTGAGAATGTTTCCAGCAAACAAATCAATGAAACAAGATGCGTTATACAAGGCAACAAATGGACCTGGACATTTCCTGGACCTAAAGGGTCCAGACAATACTTAAACTGGCCGTTAGGTTACCGGGTCTGGTCTCTAGGTCTGTTAGATGTTAACACCTTGGAACATTTCTCTGTTCCGTTAAGCGTTCATGGAAATTGTCAAATCCAATATGGTGCTAACGAGACAACACAACGGATTTCCTTAGCTCTAGCCAATCTTACAGATTATCTTGTATCTTATACTAAAGATGGCGATGTTAACGGGATGGCGGAGTATTATAATCAGAGCTACTGGTGTTACAGGGAACGCATATTCATCAAGAGTCATGCACTTTATTTGCTCTGTCTCAATGTCATTTGTCCTGTGGAAGCAATGGGCTATCGATGTTGTCGCTGGAAGTGGAATTTCTTGGCGAAAACACGAATCTTGGAGTGTTCTGGAACTTACCTGAAATACAGAAAAATTGGCTGGAAGTTACCGTTTGTGCTAGGTCTGGTATTATACATGTATTTTCCCCTTATTCTCGTGTGGTTTCTGAAATATGTCCATGAAATCACATTTAGAGGTAGTTCAAGCTATCATGTATTCCGGAACTTTTCAATCAGCGACATGGAAGGTCATATTCAAGTGGCTGAAAATAAGGAAAGTTGGATTTTTTACAATCCTGTACATATTGGAACCATTATAACAGATGCTTTTAACTGTTGCTGTGTAAAATGCCCTATTTGGACTTCAAGAATTGTTAGAATTACTTTCTTTTTCGTAAGCATATCAATCATCGCTCTGAAGGTACTATTACATGGACTAATGCAATACAACGACATAGTTGCAAGTGTAAAAAAAGGTGTACCCAAAGATTTCCAGTCCATGTTGGCGGGATACGAGCTGAGCAGTAAAAATTTCCTTCGAGTGTTCGGGGGACCTTTCGTAGCGTGTCTGTTATACGCCGTGTGTTTCATATTAAGTACATGTGTTCCCTCCGACCTGGCAACATTTCTTGCAAAAGGACTGGTTGAGAACAAAAATGAAGTCGAATCCCCTCTAAAAATTAATGCATTTGTTCGAGTGAAATTTGGAGCCATGAAAACAACGGCACCCGTAAATGGGTACGAAAAAATATTCCGTGTCTTCCTATCTCAGTTCTTTATGGTTCTGAACCCATCTTTCTGGAAATTTGCAGTAATCACACAGATTAGGCGCTGGAATAAGTACAGTCTTAACGCATGGAGGAAATCCGCATTTATTGGAAGAATATTTCTTTTCATAGCACCTCTGTATGTTTTGTTTTCTGTCTTGGAACTAGCGTTGTGCCTTTTGCTTCATGGAATCCCATTGATTAGTTTCATTATGACGATAGCACGTGCATACGTCATTGAACCTTGGCGGGATCTAGATATAAGTGTCCCTTTAAAAGTCATATGCCGTCTCTTTGCGTTTTGCTTTGTGGCATTCAGCAATTACATGTTCAGTATAATTTTTGTCGATAGCTTCGTCTTTATTTGTGGAGTGTTTGTGTATACATACACTGGGTTATTTGCGCACCCAGAGGTAACTTATGGATACCTTATATTTTCTTTTACGGTCCTTATATATATGTTTGACAGCTTTAATGACATTTCTAAGTATTACGACAATATATTCATGCATACTAGAAAAATATGCAAGAAAATACACAAGTATGGTCAATATCCAGATACAGCTTTGTTCAAAAGGGAGGAAGAATGCAAAGGCATCCCAAAGGACCTTTTCTTTTTAATTGTGAAGAAGTACAGGCCCATCAGACAACAGGTTTTTATCTCTCTCTTAAAATTAAGCGTGATTGTCCTTGTTTTATATATTTCTGTTGATCTCTTGTTAGAATTCTCCGCCTCTAAGAACTTAAGTTTACTTACACAGGCTGCAGCCACTATTATTGTGTGTCTTGTACCAAAGGTTTTAGGAGACTCATGCTATATGTTTAAGAAACGAAGGCATCACAGTCAGTCGCGGGAAATTAAGAGGATCATACACGAGTTTTGTCTTCATTCCACAGACGGAGGCACCCAAGGAGGCCCATCAAATTTAGAAGTTTTGTAGACAGTGTTAGATTTTTTTTCAAGAGCATTTGTCCAAACAATCGAATACACTTTAAGTAAAACTGTATTATGAAATTATTCTTGTTTAGGTGAAGTCGTGAAATTACAAAATCAATAGTTTAGAAATGTCATTAACTCTTTTATGGCAAGTACATATTAAACTTGTAGCCTTTTGTACATGTTTTTGTTAACCATGCAACGCATATGTTCTGATAAACTACATACTGATTTACTGACGTATTTATAAGGGCGATAGAGCGAAAATGTAGAAACGATGATGGACTCTGTCCAGATTACAATAACTACAATCGTAGCCCTCGCGTTTGCGCTTTGTTTAAGTTCCATGAGTGACAGTGACCTTATTAGTACAGTATCTTAAAGGACAAGATAGGCTAAGACCCCATTTTGGCCCCTGGTTTGAGGTGTCTTTTAGAATTATTAAGTACCTAATTACAATTGAAACCTGTTGTCATCCCTGCCACAAAATGAGTATAGTTGTGGGATACACAGAGATCGCAGGAAGATCAGAAAAAATGTCAATTTCCGAATTTTTCTCAGTTTTACATCAAATAAAGGGACCAGATTCGGCCATTACAACAATATTTCTCATAGATTTACATTTAAATTGGCGACCTGAATAATGTTTACCAAGTATAGTGGGAGAATTTTATAAGATTTTGTCATAAGGTTAAAAATTTGGGTAATTTTTTTATGGAATTATATAAAAAGAAAAACAAAGTATCATATCTTAGAACCAAGGAAAACCTACGATTTCTTTATATTTCAGGAATTTATTATTTATGTCATTTCATATCAGAATCGGGCAAAAAACATATATCAATCAATGCATCCAATTTTTGTTTGTGTTAAGTACCCTTAAACTGCATATATAAAGAATGTTATAAGTTGTTTTTTTTTTCATTTATTTATTCGACAAATAATGACCTGTGGTAGGGATATTTTTGGCTTTCAGACATGCTAGAAGTGCACTTCAAATGATAAAAAAATTATTTCCGTTTCATATTTCCAAACACTTTATTCTTAAATATGTATAGGCTGTGTCGGTATATTTCTGTGACGGTGAGGGTTTGTGCTTGCGTTTGTGCAAATTATAACTATAAAGGCATATTAGAATATTAGTTTGCAACTATATACTAGATTAGAACAAGCATGAAGATTACTGTACGGTATACATATATAGAGGAAGGATAATAAAATATATTATTGTCTATGCTTTTTCATTGCACACATTATAAAAAGTAAAATGAAGCACTCACATACAGTCATAAACATTTACACTTCATACACTTCAACAAATGTAACTGAAGTTTTTCTGATTTGGAATGTACTTCCTCCTTTGTTGTATTCAAGTAAGGAAAATGTAATTTAATACACTGTACTATGAAGAAGGGAGCCCTGTTCTTTCTCTGTAGAAATCTCTGTTGATTTTATTATAGTCATTTCATTATAACACTCTATACCCTGGTTTTCCAAATTTACATTGTAGAGGTTCGCTCTCGAGTAAACACACTAAAACGTCTCCTTAATGACGCTCGAATCAATTTCGGTGATCCAATCTGCGCATGAGAAAGTTTTCGCTGTGCTTTGGATGATGAATCTCTTTTTTTCACTTATCTGTAAGTAATGTCGATATCTAAATATAATTTTAGAATAATTACAAGTGGAAATGCACCAAAACAAATTATAAATTATAAGTAAATTAACAACAAAGAACATACGCGAACAAGGCGAGCAAAATGCTTTTTAAATTTTAAATCAGAACCTTTTCGCTGGAAGCATTTTCGGTAGAAAAGTTGTGTTCGTTGTAATTTCATACCATTCAATAATAAGAATTTTACTTAAAATGCTAAATTTATAAATTACATAAAGTATTTTGTAAGTTATAGGCATTTTGCACACTTTCTTTGCCAATCTTTCATGAGAAAGGTGTTGATTAAAAACACTTATGAATTCAAAAGGTCCACTTTTGTGATTTGGTAACCGAAACCTGTGTATCAATGAGTACGCCTAACTAAAATTTTAAGTCAGTTTACTGACTTTGCAGAAAAGGATAAAAATATATAACTCAGTTCATTGGCCGGATTCTTCTACCTTCATTCAAACTAGCAATACTTTAAGGTTTTCCAGCTTAAGGAGTGTCCAGTTACCCTGAACAACAAATTTTGAATCTAAACAATGAAAGGCCAATGCCAAGTGTGTATATTGTGAATATTGTATCAAAAGTCAGTTTGTGAGAAAGGGATATTTGGAGACTTGGTCCAACGGTTCTTGATCAAAAACGTAGGTCAGATAAATTCTTCAAATCTAGATCTCTTGTTTTGAATATTTTAATTCCTATACAAACTCAACCAGGCTTTACCTAGACAAGTGGAAGGTCACTGACCAACGATTTCATCTCAGATAAAAATAAAAATAACTTTAATGGAAAATTCCATATTTCTTATGTTTAACTAAATAAGAAAGGCATGCAGTAAAAAAGATTCTCAGTGAAACAATAAGCGATGTTTGAAGTCCAAGATCATGCAAATATGTATTATAAAGGATGATTCTTTCCTGGTCTTCGATTCCTTTCATTTGCCAAGGGTTAGCTACCTACTCGATAGCTGAACTACCAAGTTCGATTGATTGTAGTGATCAGAAGTGACTATATATTGCATTTTGTCAGTTATATCAAAGGACCTTGATGTCTATACATTGCACTCTTTCCCATAAGAGACCAGTGCCTTGTTGTAAATTTTGAATTTATCGGGTGACAGTAAATACAACTGTTATGCTTACCATTGGAAACTAGACTGATATACAGTACCTTTCTGATAAGTTCGTGAAACACGCGCTTAATGTTCTCAGTGTTAGCAGAGACTGAACATTCCGTCAACATTAATCCATCTGTTCGCCATTCCAACCCTCGTGTTGGTTGTTTTGTAACAGTTCTGAAAAGGCAAACAATGCATATAAATGTATAATATTAGAGGGCTGCGGGTCCATAGGGATATGTCATGATACATGTGTTAGGCAGTAAAGCATGTAGAATTAATGTTTATTGTAAATGGACAACATGGGATGAAGGGACTTAGGGAGGTCTTAGCCATATCCTTTACTAGTATCCTTTTTAGCCAACCCGGGCTGAAAAGCTTAAGTGGGCTTTTCTGATCAAATTTTGTCCGTCTTCCGCCTGTCCGTCTGCCTGTACACTTTTCACATTTTCGACTTCTTCTCCAGAATCACCGGGCCAACTTCAAGGGGAGATCGTAAAGAAAACGTGAAACTTGGGTGACATCGTTTAATAAAAATCTTTTTCCCAAGAACCACTGGGCCAAAAAGTTGACACTTATAAGAAACTAGCTGCAATAATGTAGCCCTCTCCTTTTTTTTTTTTTCTGTACCCTCTCCAGAAAATAACAGATAAAAAAAAATCGGAGAGGGCTACATTTTTGCAGCTAATAAGAAACCTTTACATAGTGTAGATTCCATTTTTTTCAAATCATGACTCCTGATGGGGCCGCGATTTGGGGATCAAAATTTTACATAGGAATACTGTATAAAAAAAATCTTTCAAGAACAGTAAAACAATGTTAAGTAATATTTATATGGAAGCGTCATCAGGTAGTGTTGATTCAAATTCGTTATGGTCATAACCCCCGGGGAATATTTTTACCCAACAGCATTTGACACACCAACTGGTATGCCTTATGGAACAGTCAACCTTAGGCATGGTGTGCTTGAAGGGGAGACCACTGTACTGCTGGAGTCGGGACATTCCTGATAGAGTTTGGATCTCTGAGTAGGCTGACCGGTGACCCTGTGTTAGAGAAAGTGGCAGTGAGAGCAATGTGGGCTCTCTGGAACTCAAAATCAGCTCTGGATTTGGTATGTTAGATTCTTTTCATACCAGCAACTCGGATGAAGAAATTCAAAGAAATAGAAATTAATTTATCTTTAAATTTTGAAGGTCATTGGACAGCTCTTGACCCTGGTATTGGAGAGGATATTGATTCATACTTTGAGTATCTAGTTAAGGGAGCCATCTTGTTTTATATCCCTGAATTTCTGGAACACTTCATAGGTAAGTGTATTTGCTAACATTTTTAATTAACATGTAGAATATTATTTTTTTCTGTCTGTTTGACAACTTTTGAAGTTTCTCTCATTTTCCTATTACATGTGTATTCCATATGAATAAGCACACAAGGTATAGGTGTTAGGCAAGTACATATTTAAGCTTTCGAAGACTGTCACAATGCACAAATGGTAAATGTTAGTTGTTAAAGTATTTTACTGTTTTAGTTTATGAGAAAGCAATTGTAAAACATGTGAAAAAGGATGACTGGTATATGTGGGCACACATGACCAATGGAGGGATAACTCTTCCTATGTTTACCTCATTAGATGCCTACTGGCCAGGAATTCAGGTAACTGAAACACAAAATCATGATTTTACAAGTAGTTTGACAAAAAGAAAGGATTTTAAGTATGGACATTATGATGTTTTATAATTATATTTAATTTGCAAAAAATCCAGGGAAAATAAAATTAGGAAACATAATGCTGATTTTATAGTTATGTCCCTTTAACAGAGCTTGTTGGGTGATATAGACAGTGCCATGAAAACTATTCATAACTTCCACCAAGTCTGGAGACAGTTTGGTTTCCTGCCTGAGTACTATAACATTCCAAAGAGTGAGGCCCACACGGGGAGAGAGGGGTACCCACTTAGACCAGGTAATCTCCAATATTTACTGTCAGATAATAAGTAAAGAAACACAGGTTTGATTTTAATTTATTTTGTATAGGAGAAGTACATGTCTGTTAATTGTAATGTTTGTAGAATTCTTCCTTTATGAGACTGAAACAATTCCCTGTAGCAGATAAAAAACATAAGGCTCACTCAGCTTCTTTGAGTAATATCACTCTTCATTCCTATAAATGTATGCCTGAATGAGTATGTCAAAGCATTTTGCTTATCATAGCAATAAAATACATTTTGACAAAAAACTTTTAAAAAATATTCATTAATTTTAAATATGTTAAATAAAAACTTTATTTGATTGAGAATTTTTTATTATTTATAGTTTGAAATTTTCCAAAATAGGAAATAACACATATTTGTGAAAACGAATTAAATGTATCCTATAATTCTGCGAGCTAATCCTATGTTTTTTTCTGTAGAACTGATAGATAGTGCTGTGTACCTGTACCAGGCCACCAGAGACCCTTTTTTACTGGAGATAGGTGTAGACATGCTGGAGGCCATAGAACACAGCACCAAAACCAAGTGTGGATATGCTACCGTGAGTATACCGCTCCTTGTATAACATGACACATTTATAACATGACACAAGCAAAGCCCAATGAATTAAATGTTGTACAGAATGTCAAGTTACATAATCATACGGTAGAATGAATATGCAATAACCATGTCTAGAATATAATATATTTAACTTCTATATTAAAAAAAGTGCAGAATGAGACCATCATAGAATCATAATGGTCCTGTATTATTCTAAGTATACACATTGATCTTTTACAATGCTGAGTTGCTTTTGGGATATCGGAAACTATTCTGAATTTTGAAAGTTAAAGCTTTTTCATATTAGGTACTTTCAGTAATCCATAAGGAGTTTAATAAAAAAGAACTACAGTTCTTCAAATACCAGTACTTGTACGCAAATTGACACATTCAAAATTTAGAACAATCACCTGGTATTTAGTGGTTAGCATAAATATCACAAAGCAAGACACATGTCTGCAACATGCAGTGTATTTATTAAGGGTTTATTATACCCGCACTTTCTAAAGAAAGTTCGTGTATATTGTTGTTACTCATGTCCGTCCGTCCGTCCGTCCGTCTGTCACACTTTTCTTCCCTGAACTCCTCCTACATTTTACACAGTAGCTTAATCATCTTTTGGGAGATGGTTTGTGGGGTCATGTAGATGTGCAGTAAGGTTTTGGAATTTCGATTTTGCCCCGGGGGGTCAAATGGGGGTCGAAAAATGACGTTTTTTGTCCAAAAAGCTCTGTCTTCCCTGAACTCCTTCTACATTTTACTCAGTAGCCTAACCAGCTTTTGGGAGATGGTTGGTGGGGTCATGTAGATGTGCAGTAAGCTTTCGGAATTTTGATTTTGCCCCAGGGGGTCAAATGGGGGTCGAAAAATGACGTTTTTTAAGCAAAAAGCTCCGTCTTCCCTGAACTCCTCTTACATTTTACTCAGTAGCCTAACCAGCTTTTGGGAGATGGTTGGTGGGGTCATGTAGATGTGCAGTAAGGTTTTGGA